GTGGTTAACAGTGTGATGGGATTTGGTGATGGTGTGGAGTGAACGAACGCACGAACATAAATACAAGCATGCCCCAGGCGGGACTCGAACCCGCGATCCTTCAATACAAGATCGCTACGGCCCTACTACCTTAACAATCCCGGCCATCTGGAAGACTTCTACTTTTCAACAGCTACAAAGTTCAATTCACACTTCTCCTACTTTCCTACACACATCTAATTTTCGGCATGTATCTTTACTGCTCTAAATGTTAACTCATGATCCAACTTTTCAAGTATTTTTCAACAATGTTAATTTTCCTGTGGCTTGGATGGTTTCTGCATAACTTCATTCAATTGTAGATATTCTGAGTACGTGTAAAGAAATAACACGTACGTATGAGTTGAGGCAAAATTCGGTATGACGCACTTTCCCATTAGAATTGCGCAAAGGGATGCACTTTCTTCCACAGCAAGCCATAATCATAATGAATGATAACCGAATATCAAAACAAATTTTAAAATAATTATGTCATTTTCACATTTGATGTATTGAAAAAAAATTAGTATTGCAATTGCGTTTAAAAGGAACTAATTGCAGGAGATAGGGACGAAGTCCCAGAAATGTTTAAGTGGAAGAGTGGAACAGAAGAAATAGAAAAGAGATAAAAAAATTGCGAAAATTATCTTGAAGTAAAAATGGGAACAGAATAATGTATTAATACACTGTAAAACACTGTAAGATAAGAAGTTCTTGTAACAACGAACCTGTCATAAAGAGACAAAATACCGCTGTGACACAAACATCGGTCATGTTTTATGACATTTGAAGAGAGGCGATATGCTTTTACTATCTCCCTATGGAGTAGAGAGAAAGTTATGTAGTGCTGCTCGCAAATACGGGGAATTTTCGGGAGAAAAACACTTATTACAAGTCTCTTTTAACAAATCCAGTTGCTAAATTACGGGGGAATATTATCTATCACGTGGTGTAGCCAAAATTCGTGACCTTGATTCAGAAAAAACGAATGAAGGCAAAACGTCTGTCCGTGTGTGAAAGACGGTAGCGGCTAAACCGTTCAGCCTATTTTCTTCAAATTAATGTTCCTCAATGGGTCTGGTTGATGTCGCGGCCCATTGAATTTGAATCCGACATTTCAGTGCTGGGGATTACTTTACATGTAATCCCTGAGCCATTTTCAAAATTTCATGAAAAGCATGATTTCTTGAAAATTAGAAAAGTTTATAATTGTTTAGGAGTCTTCTTACAACTAAAATATTAAATATAGATATTTTTCCCTAAAAGAAATCTGTTCCTTAAAGATGTATTTTGAAATAAGGTCATGTACAATTTTTCGAAAATTCAGTAAACTTCGTTTCCACTTGCCTGAAAATACGCGCGAGAAAGTCCGTATTTTGCACTAGCTTGCAGTAACGAAACACGTCTGCACGGCGGATATCTTTGGCAATAATTAAAGTTTTCAGCCGTACTGATATTTCGCCTACTTGTATTTACGATAATCCCGCAAGTTACAAAATTGTGCCACGACTCTTCGGCGTGATAAAAAAAACTCGTTCCGTTCCGCAACGACCCCGCGCGCACAACGGAATGCCCACGTCCTGTCCTCATAACGAAGTCCCTGAGCGACGCCGACGCAAGCGCGCGCGCCGCCCGGCCCCGCCCAAAAGACGGCAATCGGGCGCACCATCGCAGATCGCAAATCGCAGATCCCGCCGATAGGCGCGCTGTCGTCGCTGGGCGGGCGGGCGGGCCTTTCGCCGATGTCTATCGCGGGCGGTGTTGCACCTCGCAACGGATGCAGCGCTCCGCCCGCCCGCGTCGCAACGCAACGCCCCCTGCGGGACGGACGTGCCAAGCGCACGGCCTCCTCGATCCGCACCGCATTGTTTTCAGTCCTCGCGAAAACTTTCTTCAACAGAATAATCGGGATTCATACTTCACCTACGGCATTATACCACACACTTCACACGAGTGATCAAAACTATCTAAATGTTCAGTGTTCTGAATACCATTTTAATAAAATATATGTTATAGGAAAAATTGTCATTCAAAATGAGAAACAATTTCACATTATATACTTCTTTCTTAAAGAGGTATTAAAATTTGTTTTATGAATTAGTACATCCTTTTTTTTTTAAATGTGAGATATATGACGTTCTATTTGTACAACTTTTATCCATTTTCTGATAATTATATATCTTATTTATATACTACGGAATATATTAAGTCTAATAAGAATGTAGGATAGGTTCTATATACTTCTGTACAATAAAGAATGTGGACTATTTTGTGGAAGTTTTGTCACTGTACTCTCGTAACGAGCCATAAAACCCGCAAATTGAAACTTTTGGGAAAAAAATGATCTCCGAGAGAGGCATCAAATAGATTCACGGTGAAAAATGTTATACTTTGCAGATTATTGAATTCTTAAAAAATTAACACTTTATAGGTCATTTAATAATCGAAAATGGTTTTAACTGTAAACCTATTTTCACTTTCAAACTAATGTTTTACAAAATGTTTTGTTTTCACATATCTAATTATCGTTTTTCATGGAAGGAATTCTGCAACAATTTGTATAGCTTGATATTTTTTCTTTTTGAGCATTTTTATTTCACTAATTTTAAAAGAAGAAATGATTTGTTTTTCTTCTTCAGTTTCGAAAAATGCGGTCGCGAACTTTTTTGCACCAGAAAATTGACACAATTGACCAATATGTGGAAATGTTACGAATTGACGAAGATGTTGAAAATAGATATATTTTTAATATATTCGAATGAAAATGTTTTTTTGTTATTCAATTGCTTCATCCGATATACTGAGCCGAGTATGAGTATTGAATAAGCTCTCCAGAGATCATATTACTTCCCTAAAGTGGCATCGTTTTCCTGTTCCCAGCTCGTCTGCGTGAGTGAGTCTAAGTCTAAGTTACCTCGTAAAATTACTGCCTTTTTTTCTTTAAAAAACTCGTGCATGACCTTTTGTAAAGATCTTATCTTCAAAATAGATTTCATTGAACCAAATATGCTCTATCAACAATATTATACTTTTTCATGTTAATTCTTTGCAATACATTCGAAAATTGTCACAAAAAATTGAACGCACCAAATTTGTACCGCATATTGCTGCATATGAGAAAAAATTAAAGAAAATATTTAGAGCAGTTTTAGAGAAAATTATTGTTTAAAAATTTATCATATTTCATGAAAAAATTCGTGAAAACTACTCCTTATTTTCGACAAATTGTATGTATTTGTATATTACTTTATTTCAAGTTGTTATTTAACATCTAAATTCATTAAGAAAATAAATCTACATTAAATATTGTAGTAGTAGGAAGACACCGAAATTGTTTTAACTTTTCCAACTTTCGAAGATTTAGACATTACCCCGAAAATGAAACTTGAACAATTATCAACGTTCTTTACGCTATCTCAGGGTAAAGTTTAATAAAACAATTTGGAGTCATTTTTTGAAAAAAAAATTGAAAATTGTGAGGCTTCATATAAAATACCCCCAAAATGAAATGATGTGTTTCGAACTGGCAGGGTCCTGAGTTTGTTCAATCAAACAAGGAATATCAAGTTTTGAGAAGAACGTCTGAATGGTTCAGCCGCTAGCGTTGACCACAGACGGATAGACGGCCGTTTTGCCGTCAATCGATTTTTCGGTACCAAGGACCCACAAAAGTATTCTGACTACACGTGATGAAGGAAGTAATTTACTACAGATAGGATCAAAATTTATCCACTTTTCGATACTAGAGACTAGTTTTCTTCTGTCGAAAAATCGCCAATTTTCGCCACAGTGTTACAATACTTCCTCTTTACTACTTTCGTAATAATACAAGAAAGTAAAAGAATCTCCTGAATGGTCATAAGTGAGCGCTTGTAATCGAAACAGAAAAGTCATCAGTGGAGCTCGCCTACAGTTCATGCCACCGCTTCTTTATTTATACTACTCGTAATATATAAAACAGAGTCACTGCTCGTATCTGTTTGCTTATCCACTAAATAGATGAGAACTTGCAAATAAATTTCAATGCAGTTTTCACCATTGTGTACTTTTATGTCAGGCAGTTTTTAGTGCAGCGTATAAAGATGAGAGAGTCATAATTTTACACATTGCCATTAAAGTTATAATCAGTGTCTCCTGGATCTTTGTCTATCCTATTTATGATTGTTTTGGCAACCATAATGTGATGTGGGTGTGCGAATTTGCTGGCGAAATATTAATAAAGATTTACAAGCATTATAACAGAATTCAGGTACTTCAATTTCAACTGTGATTATTCGTTTTATTTTATAGTTATATTAGAATAAAAGTTACTCATTATTAAGTTCATATTTACATCAAGATTCAACGGTTCTAGATGAAACCATTCTTGAAATAAACATATTCATTGTTCAAAAATATCTTGAGGTCGAAAAGAAGCGAGGTGGAATATAAGTGAAAACCGTTTTACACTGTACAACACAGTATACATTTCTTTTCCTATTTAATAGATGATTATTTAAAAAAAGTAAATTTTCTTATTATAACCCAACAATTTTTAATATATTATTGGTTCAATCTTCCAAGTCCACTGATTTATTTTTCTGGATTTCTGGATGTGTCACTCCTCTCGTGCAGTAAATATGTTGGCGAGGGTCGTGTTGTTGAATGGTAATTCAATGAATAGTTATTTTTTTCTTCTTCTTCACTTCCCGGCTTTTGCCAGTGTTTGTTCCGTCCTTACAGTTTCTCTTCATCTTTTTCTTGATTTTCCCACATCTTTTCGTCTTCTTTGTACGTTATGCAAAGCTGCCTTTAGAAGTCTTATCACACATTCTCTCTACATGCTTTACCCATATTTGTTTTCAGTCTTGAGACACGTAGGAGCGTAGGAATTACTCTGTAATCGTAAAATTTAGATCGGGTTTCTGCGCTTGTTTTAATTTTTTAAGGTGTTGTGTCAGTGAATGCAAACCCTTGCAAATAAGAAACGTTTGTTGTTGCAGTGGTGATGCACAAGGACAAGGAGGACGGGCTGCACCACGAGCCAGGCGCCTTCCGCAACCGGGAGCTGGCGGCCTACGACCACGCGCTGCTCGACGGCGAGATGTTCCTGCAGGTGAGCACTGCCTTTCCATGCACACACGCAGCTCACAGTCTGCACTCTCAGTACCTCGTTGCAGCTTAATGTTGAACTAACGGATCCGGCAATGTTTCTCTATCGCGGTGCATTAAATAAATACAATTCACGTTCAAAATCAATGAAGATTATCAACCACACTTCAACTACGTTAATTAATTAATTAACTATACTTAACTACATAACATTACACTTTAAATATCATTCAATATTCAAATAATGTTGTGCATCGCTAACATCTGGTTAAGATTTGCTTTCTAGATCGCAATTTCGATGTTATTCTACATTGTGAGTCGAATAGAGGGGTGTAGTTTAACAATATATAGATGGCACTTCAACAAGGTCTTCTAGAGACCATCTCGATCGAGTAGTTTTTGCTTCTATATGCGACAGATGTTTCCTTTTATTTATATATAGTAGATGGCTTTAAAGTTTTGTAGCCTTTAATTCCTGAGTAATACATAAACGTTACTTTTCCTTATCCATTGAATTTGTAAAGGTTTTTTTAAGTCTGTTTAAATATATATTTCCAATATTTGTTTCGAATTTTGACAACATTTCTTACGTTTGCATAGTCTACAGTTCTTGAAAAGTCTGGGTAATACATGTGTTGCTCTGAAGAGGAGTTACTGAAGAGGAATATCTGTTACTTTTCATTCGAAATAAATATCTACCAATTGAATTATTGTTTGAATATTTCTTGCGCATGTCAGTCTACCAGTCGAGGACGTCGTGGTGCAAAGGTTTTCGATATTTATGACCAGTATCGAGTTCTCGTGAGAAACGATCACACATCACTAGTTCGGTTTCCTCGCAGCGAGCGGCTGACACGAGACAGACTACATCCGCAAGTCCGCGTCTCAAGTTCTCCTCCCGTTTCCAGTCTCGGGGCCGTGTTTCTGTTTGGGCAGCGGCCTCAATGAAAGGGCTGGGTGACGCACTTTGATCCTTTCCCCGGCGCATGTACGCGTTCCGCTCGGTCAATTCCGCCGCCGCCGCCGCCGCTCGCTGCGTCCCGACCGGGCGGCAGGTGGCGCGGCCGGCAACGCGGGGGAGGAGGGTGGGCACCTGGACCATAAGATCTCAGTGGAGCAATGGAAGAGCTGACGCAGATCGGACCGGGGGCGTTTTCACATTTACAGATACCGATACCGACACGATATCAGCACGGTATCGAAACCGACACGATATCGATAGGATATTTGTACGTATAACGAAACGGCCCATGTAGTTGTTGAGGTCGAGGATGGTCGGAGTTTATCAAGTTGTATTTTGCTTCGTTTGTTATGTGTGTGACGCAAAAAAAGAAATAAGTTCAGATAATTGCTCATCCAAGTATTTCATCCTCCAAATATTCAGAAACTTTCCAACAACTTCTGTCCTGACGTATTGTGATGTTATTTTCATCTGTTTTAACCAAAACACACGACTTATATTCCACCAATTCTAATAATACTCGTGTATCTATTTCGTGTTTGTAACCGGCCATTTAAGTCAGTTTCAATCCAAAAATTACACACCACTCACAAATATTATCAAAAAAATATGACAAATAGTCGTCGATACGAGTGGAGTGACTGCCATTTACCGACATACCATTACCTGTAACTACATGGAACCGATATATCGGCAAGTGTTGAAGCATCCTCATTAATTTACATGACATTAGGCGTTCACGGGCATAGTTGTCGTTAAATGTCGGTAAATGTAAAAAGCCCATTTCGACGGTCGCAGTGTCTGATTTCTAAAAGTATTTGATTGGAATAAGGGAAGAAAGCTATGGCGGAGTTAGTAAAGATGAGACGACTTGGATCGATTAACTCATTGATTATTTAGTTCACGAATTTATCATCTACTGTGATTACTGGTCCTGCAAGAGTTGTGAATGATGTAGCTCGGGAGGTAGGAATGTTTCTCCTCCGAAAGTGCGACCCGCCCCGTGCTGCCTTTCCTTCTCCAGGAGTCTCCCCAGCCGGATACGGCCCCCGCCGGGGCAAGATGCACGCGCCAGACTGGCCTTCCGACATGTTTGGTAATCTAGTGCAAGTATGTATGTATGTATGTGCGTGTATGAGAAAGGGTAGAGTGGGGGGAAAAGATGAGGAAGGAAAAATTTTGCACGGTGCGTGTTCCTGCTGGAAGCTGGTCCGGCGTTCGCCTGCTATTGATGGGACAAATCACGGAACACGGATCAGAGCAGTCAATTAAAGAACTCGATCCTCTCTGATGGTGCAATAAACTCGGAAGTTTCGACGCAAGAAGCCAATTTCTGGCACTTGAAATCAATGGTTTCCGGGACCTCTCATTAAACTGGACCGTTTGTCTAACCCTCGCCGCCACCGATGCTGGTAGCTCGTAGAGAATCAATGAACATAAATTAATATAGAATGTAAAAATGAAAGAACGAAAATAAGAACAAATGTGATGAAGATCAAACGTTTAATTTATTGGAAACACTGTAGTACAATGAAAAATGGGAAGCACCAACAATAAGACAATAAGAGGCAGAAATCTTTGGAGAGAGAGAGAACACAATGTAGAACGTGCGAGAGTGAAGAGCATGACAACCCTGATATATGAAGAAAAACGAATTGAAATGAAAAGAGGGAAAAAATAATTGATTGATTAATGATTTTGGACACATCAACTGGTAAGGTCAATAGTCCCGTAAGTGAAGTGTTTCGTGGGAAGTGATCTTCCACCACTGGCACTGACCTACCTGTCGGCTTGCGAGATTTCCCCCACAAGGTATCTCCCACCAAAAGACAAGCTGGAAGCTCCCGAGTGGTCTTAGGAAACAATAAGAATGAATCAGAAAGACGCCACGGGAAAATGGAAAGGAACTGAAATAACGGAGTAAACAAAGTCCAAGCAAAGCGGAGAAGGCGTGGCGCCTGTGGGGCTGAGGCAGTCGAGTGTCGTGGGCGAGGAGGCGTCGGCGTGGGCGGCAGATTTACGAGCGCAGCGTGAACCGGCGCAGAGCCGGGCGTAATTAAAAACCTGGCGGCAGGCTGCGTCTCAATACCACCCACCCCCGCCCACCCGCCACCCCCGCCCCGCCGACGGCTTCCTCCAGTCACCTCTCGCCTGACCGCCGGGCGTTAGTCAGGGCTCGCCCGCGCGGCGCCCACCCGAAGCCGGCCACCCCGCCCGCCCCGCCCGCTCCGCCCGCCCCGCCCGTCCGTCTTGCATGGAAATATAATGGAGAAGAAGGACAAAAAAAACCTCACTCAGCGGCCGGCGCCCCCCTCCCTCTCCACCCACGCCCCAGGCCAGCTCCCGCGGAGGTGCCGCGGCCGCCGCCGCCTCAGTTGGCAAGACTGATGGCGCTCATTACCCAGTTTATCAGCTGATGAAATAATTAGCTCGCAGACAGAGGTGCCCGAACGCAGCGCCGCTTTCGCTGACTGGGGCGTGGAGCCGGGGACGGGGCGTGGCTGGGGCTTCTTTGCGCTCCGAGTGCAGAGTGCTTGCAAGTCGGAAGACGCCTAGTTTTTACTATTTTAAAACACGATAAGGCTCAACTGTTTTGCTTCAATATTTCTCTCCGCGCTGATGGTAGATTTAATTTCCGGTTTGCGTTATGGGCCACACCTGAACCAAATTGTTTTCCCGCGCTCTACTGCACATGAAAAAACACGTGGAATTATCTCTTTCTGTTCCGGTTTGCTTGCTAGCTTCTTTACTATATACCTCGCAGCTTTCGTATTCTGTTCACAAACGTCGGTCATTTTTGATCATTTTTAATCGTTTAATTGATTCGTCCTTGAACATCCTAGTGGTTTTCTTCTTGATTATGATATGACTGTAACATTAGCGAACAATGAATATAATCAGAGAATGAATATTGAGCAGCAGTCATAACTTTATTTAAATTACTTACTTTTATCAGACAGACAAAATGCGGGAATCCAATTTTAGTAAATTTAGAAATTTGAATTCAGATCAACAAATTTTGTGCGATTATTCACGATGCACCTCTCAATAATTTAATCGCCCTTCGAGCAGCGAGGACTACATTAGACGAACTGGCGTTGCATTTCCTGCGCCTTTGGAGAGCGCTGGCCGAGTGCAGAGGAGATTTGCCAGCGGAGGCGTGCAGCATGAAAACGGGCGCTCGTTAACGCGCGGGGGGGGGCTGCGTGCGGGTCACGGGCTATTTGGCGCGTGCGCTGCGCGGTGATAACTCGACGGAGATAGCGTAGAAGCTGCTCTTGGCTGCCACGCATGCAGCGCTTCTGCAACGAGTGGCAACTACGTCGGAGAAGAAGACGAGAAGAAGAGGAAGAAGAGAGAATGAAGAAGAAGAAGAAGAAGAAGAAGAAGAAGAAGAAGAAGAAGAATGTGGTCTACTCACCTATGTTGTACGAGGAAAAATGCACCTCTTTCCTTCAATTAATCACGCTACGTTAATACGTTGCTGGTTGTTGATTGTAATATTTCGTGGAATATAGAGCTATTCTATTACATTGGCAGAAGTTCGAATTTGAGTTTTCTATTCAGGTTCTAATTCTGCCAATTTTATTAGGAATTAATGGTAGGGATATTTGCTTTTAATTCTCGTCTGAAGGAAAATATTACGTATATTATTTTTATCGCATTCTGTAATTTTTTCTTAAGTCTCATACAACACCCACGTACTAAGCACAGTTTTAGAAGATTCGATCCGTCGAAATTCATGAACAGAAATGTATAATTCTTTAGCGCCTTCTGCTTAATGAATGTCTATAGTGCAAATGCTTCAAGTCACAGAAGTTTTTACCTTGTCCGCGTGGCCCGTGCACGAGTAGCCAAACCTCAGGAGCTCCGCAGCGCCGCCCGCGTCCGCCGCCCGCGTCGAGATGGCACTGCCATGTCAACGAACCCGCTCCCTCTGACAAATGCGTTTTTAATGGACTCGCGCCGACCCGGCCCGACCCGGGCGCAACGGGACCGCGGCCCTCCCCCCGCCCAGGGCTCTCCGCCCTCCGCCGCCCTCCGCCGCCCTCCGTCGGCAGAGGGCGCCACCCGCGCCTCAATGGGCTGCCCCGCGGGCGCTGCCGGCGGCAGGCACGGGCTTCCAGCCAGCGGGGCGGAATTTCCGAATCCAGCTCCGTTGCTCCTCTCCGAATTCAGCCGCCGCGATGGAGAATTTAAACTGATCAGACCGACTGCTCTGATCAATAGATTTCTCTGATTTCTTCGGTCAATACTAGGCGGATGCGTAACAAACGGACCACAGGAAATGCGCAATCTTTCCTTTCTCACCTCCGCTTGTCCTCTCCTCTCATCTTTCACACTTCATCTGACGGGCACTACACTACCACGCTTCTTGGGGGATCTGTTGGGAACGGAGCTTGCCCCGACTGTGGCGGTGTCCTGCTGGGAAGAGATAATTGGAGGCGTAATCCATCGCAAGCCATCGACTAGGTCAGCGCCGAATCTCTCGTTTCAGCAGGGAGCCATATCGGTTATAACATGCACTACACGCACAGGACTAAATACCAAAGTACTTGACGTGCCCAGTAACACGGAATTCTCTCTAACTCTCTCACTTCAAATCCAGAAATCGATCTCTCGCAAAGATAAAATGTCCGCTTTAGTAGTCGGTCACAGGGCAAACTATTTCAAAAATATTTGTATTTATAAACAACTCCATTCGATCTTTATATGTTTCAGCTGTTTCAAGGAAGTTCTTTGCACGTTATCTTAGTACGAAATTACGGTATCAACAGTCTTGTTTTTCCATCTGAAACTAACAATTGCATTTCCTTCCCTTTAAATTTATTTAATTTTATTTGTGCGTTGATGGAAGACAGTGGTTAAAATAATACTCTTCTGCCTCCCATTTTCGTACAGCATCTAGGTTTGCGATAACAACAGTTTTGGGTATCAATCGCTGGAGTGTAAATGTCAACTTGCATGCAGCATGTCCTCGTTTCCT